AAATCTGAGATGATTTGGATAAGTTACTTTTGGAATATGGGACTCAGAAACAATAAGTATTTTTTGAAAGAATGTCAAATGATTTTGCCACATTTTATCTAAAACACAAATTGTCCTAGAAATTTCTAATGAGATTTATTTGAATGATTTTGGTGAGATCTCTAGAGGACACAACCCTTTTAAGACAGGGAAAGGCACATTTGGTAAGTTATTTATTCACTGGCAAATTAGTCACACCTTTCTGTCTTTCTCGTTCTTTCTTCTTAAAGTAAATCTCTAGCCTGTTTCCTGTGGAGACAGCCTTCAAAAATAAAACTGATTGCTAGAGGGTTTTTGCACTCTGATTTATTTGGGTGCAAAACCAGGAAAACTGAAGTCCATTCTCTCAACTACCAGCAGCTGTAATTTCCAACTCAATTACTTGCTCCTGTCATCTTCCTCAGCTTCCTCCACCCCACTTCTGTTATGTCTTGTCAATGGAGACAGATAATCAAATAAATGTTTCTAGTGCTCTCCCCTAAAGTACTGCTCTTAGAATCAGTGGCTATGCCACCAATGACACTGGAAAAAAATTGTTAATACTTTAGTACCTGAGCCAACATAGCTTTCCACAACTCCTTCCTGGTAAAATGAAGTTCTATTGACGGAGGTGTCTTCTGAGGGCATTCTGATGTGCTAAGAGTACTCTAAGAACCCTGTGATGTTTGGGGGAAGGGAAATGCTGTCTCATCCCTTACCCCTGGTTCTGAGGTACCAGACCTTCTCCAAGCAGGAGTTATGTTTTAATGGAATCCCTTGAGAGAGAGTAAGTGGAGCGGATGATATTGTGTGTCTCCAGAGGTCTAATTTTTAAACACTGGGATAGAAGGTATGTGTAATCTTCAGCCTCCTGTGTACGAAAGACAGCGAGTAGCAGAATCGTCAATATGCATGGGTTAGGCTGGTGGCAACAGAATCTTCACAACTTGCTCATCAAGCATCAGAATTGTTTCTCACATACTCCCAGCAAAGGGCAGGCAACAGCATTTCTACACATACAAAAGAGGTACAGATAGTGACATCTTCCCCCACAGTAAGAGACAGAGCTAGTCCAGTAGGGAAGAATGGAAAGTAATGGGGCTTGAGATAAAAATAAACATGGAACTCCTAACTACCATGGTACCATTCCTTAACTACCCAACACTCATTTATACACACTGTAAATGTGCATATTTGAATGTTAGGTAGCTAACCGCTGCCAGTAATAGTGCACGAGCAGAGACCAGCACAAGCAGCTGGACTCCAATTTCTCTTGCTACAGTGATTACTACAGCCCTATGGAAATCAAATTTCCAGGGCCATCCTGCCCCCGATGCAGAGTGCTTGCAGAGCTCTTAAGCTCCACATGCTTGTGCTGATGAATTTTGCAGCCTTCACCAGCCAGCTTCCATCCAGCCAAAGTCATCTGACCACTTCTCTCTTAGGTTCCTTGTATTGACTCTTGCTTGCAATGCCAGGTTTTCCTTCCTGAAGACTTAATGATTCATCAAAAGCCTGCATGAGGACTCTGGCTCATGTGGATATACTAAGGTCTTGGGGACTATAGAATAGCTGAAGGGAGAAAAAGCTTTGATGGAGAGATGAAATGGAAGTATGGAGCCTGAAGAAGCAAACAGAGGCTGGAGAATATGGAGTAGCTAATGTGTAGAAGTCAACTGGGAAGTCAAAATCCATATAGAACTTCTAGGCAGCTTTACTCTATCCCATTCCCTGACTCCAAGTGCCCTACAGAACTTATGAGCCTCCCTAGTTCCTAATGCATATCATAAACATTTTAAAAAAAATTCTAAGGAATTTCTCAGAAAAATAACTTTGCTAGATTGGAGAAAAGCACATATCATTGTATTTATCAAACACAACCATTAAAAAAGCAGAACATTTAGAAGTAAATGAAAACATACGGACAATGTCACACAAACAATATTAAATGTGTGTGTGGGGGGAGCTCTCAGGCGACCTTGTCCATTCATACCAAAAATGTTGACCACAAAAACCACAATGGCTTATTCTTAATCTTCAAATGGGTATGCTGACAGGCTTTCTTTAAAACTATGTGTAATTAATAAATAAAGGCATACACTTCACATTCCTGATTAGACATATAGCATATATAATTATGGGAATACCATCTTTCCATAAATCATATCTGATATTGGCTGTTGAAATATATGGCATTCTTTGAAAATATGGGAGCTGTATGACACACTGAGCGAAACTGGTCTATCATTTAACATATAAGCAAGGGCATTCAGAGACTCTCTGCAGGCAATGGAAAGATTGTAATTTAGCTTGGAATACAGAGGTAGCTACATATTTAAGGACAAGCATCAGCAGGGGAGAAATTCTGAGTGTGTATATGCAAGTCCAAAGGAGCATTAGAAATAATGTATCTCAGAGACAGAAGTTGGTAAAGAAGGTAACATACAATATGGAATAAAATTGGAACACAGAATGGACATCGTGCTGGAGGCCAAGTTAGTGACACAGATGCTGGACTTGATCAAACTTATCATCAATATGCTAATGAAAAAGATTACTTCAGGGCTAGAATTCTAATGCAGGTAACTCACCCCTTGACTTCAAAGACTCTCCAGGGTATAAGGGAAATGAAGGAAAGGAGGAGTGAGGTTCTAGGGAGAGAAACAAGGAAGTTCCTCTGAAAGACTCAAGGTCACAGAACCAGTGACTAGAACTTTGGTATGCCAGAGTGAGAAGAAAAAGGGGTTGAGAAACTAATTGACACAGCTTGCTAATGCTGTGACCATCATAATTTCTTTAAACTGAAACGATTAGGCCTGCCTAGTTGAGTGTATGGAAGCCTTAGATCTAAGTGTGTGTTTGATACCATTTAGATTTATTCTCCTCTCAGTTTTTAGTACATTTTATTGTATTTGACATTTTTGAATCTCAGACTGTTTCTGAGATAATCTACAGTTCATCCTGTTGAGAGGTCCTTCAGCTCCTGAAGGAAGTTAATGATAGGGGATTGTGCCTAAACCCTATTTGGATTCTTATTCAAAAGTGCCAACCAAGGTGTTTTGATACTAAGGCCTGGTCTACACTGGGGGAGGGGTGGGGAGGGGGAAATCGATCTTAGTTACGTAACTTCAGCTACGTGAATAACATAGCTGAAGTCGACGTACTTAGATCTACTTACTGCAGTGTCTTCACTGTGGTAGGTCGATTGCTGACACTCCCCCGTTGACTCTGCCTACGCTTCTCACTCCAGTGGAGTACTGGAGTCAACAGGAGAGTTCTCAGCGGTCAATTTATCGCATCTTCACTAGACACGATAAATCGACCCCTGCTGGATCGATCGCTCCGGAGGTAAGTGTAGACATGCCCTAAGTAAGCCATAAGGTACAGTTGGTTCTCTGGCTGTGGTGAGCCTGAACCATAGGAAGAGGCTGAATACCACAGACAAGAGACAAGTTTGAGGGGCCAAGGTGACACATAATAAAGAATTATTCCTCACAGTTCAGTACGGTTCCAGGTGCCATCTATTATATGTGCATCATTAAACAAAAAATAACAGACTACCCCTCCATATGCAGTCATGAACGTGTAGCTCCTAGATAGAAAAAACAAAACATACTATAATGATGAAGCATCACTCATATTGTATACTTTCTGCACTCCACCCACAAGCCGTACAAGAACCAGGTCCATTCTAAATTGAGGATGCTTATAGCCATAGATTGTAGACATCTTAAAGCCCAAATTCCTGGATTTCTAATATTTTTCAAAATAATTATGTCCTTGAAAATTTGTTTTGAATTTACTTACCCTTAACTTATAATATGTACTCTGAGTACTCCACTGTACAAAGTTTTTCTTTGTCTGAGAATCAAGTATCAGAGAGGTAGCCGTGCTTTAGTCTGTATCCACAAAAACAGTGAGGAGTCCGGTGGCACCTTAAAGACTAACCGATTTATTTGGGCATAAGCTTTCATGGCTAAAAAACCCACTTCTTCCATGCATCTGAAGAAGTGGGCTTTTTACCCACGAAAG